ACTGGTAGTTATGCAAGCACATTTTTGTCATTGACTGTGCTTTGTGGGTTACTTACTGTTGTCCCCTGCACTCTGTGTGCTGCTTAATACAGTGTATTTTGTAGACCTGACTTCTGCACTCTGTGACTTCCATTGTTCTGTACTCTGCACTCTTTATTACTTACTCTTGACTTTTCTTTCATAAAGCTGCACATCCCAAAAATATCCCTTTCTTAAAATGAAAATTAATCAAAACTGTAAAACAGAAAATGTCTGCACATCCAAATAGAATACACCTAAAAACTGTCAAAATAGAGGTTTTTGCAAAGAAAAATTAAAAAAATAACTTTCCTTTGGTCTAGCTTCTAGTGCTTCAGGTGCTCCTTTTTTGGGCTGTAGTGCATTTTCATGGGACATTTGAGCACTTTGGGATGAGGACTGCTATCCCTGCCCTTTGCTTGGAATTAAAAAAATGCCCAACTTCAATGGAAGAAAAAATGCCCAGCATCAGTAGTTAGCAGGAGAGCAGATTTCTGTTGTTGGTGGTCATTGCGAGGGAAAAAAATGCCTGACCGTGTCCAAGGGAGAAAAAATGCCTAATTATGGTGGTCACAAGGGAAATTAAAAAAAAAACAGCATTGGTGGCAGGGAATGGAAAAACTAATAGAAGGAAGTCCTGGGCCTTAACACCTTGTTCTTTTGCAAAGGTTCCTGCAGGATAAGCCCACCATATTATACAGTTGTCTCACATAGATAAGAAGGTAGGTGAAAATAGAGAGAATAATGTATTTAACTGATTAAAGTATAACTAAAGGCAAAACTTGTTTTCTTATTTTTGGGTAGAGTGGAGAATGATTAGAACACCTGTCAGGTTTTAATATTTAGTGTTCTGTTAGTGAGATTCACCCTCTCTATTTGTCCCGTTTACTAGTAATATCAAAAGTGAAAGCAAAAGAAAATACCAAATTTTGGATTGTTCCGAAAAGTAGAGGGTGAATCTTCTAATGGGGACAATACTCCGATGACTTGTGGAGGCCCAAGGGATTCCCATAATTTGCAAATCAACATTTGGGACAGGAGATCCTGAGAATCTGGTCGTGCCCACAGAGCATCTGCCTAGAGTCTTACCAAGTTACATAATACATCCGTCTGGGCCAGTGTTGAGCAATGAAAATCACCGGAATGCCTTCATCAATATTACAAAGCAAATGAGGAAGAAGATTCAGGAGAGGAAGGCTATGGGTGTACAGATCCTATGGAGTCATCAAAATATCCACTGCTTTTGCAAAAGAAGCCCTGTCCTGGAGACACTCCTCTCCAGTTATTGTTGAATCTGAAGGCCAAAAAGTCCATATCTGGTGCCCTCAACCTGCCACAGAGGTCTATACACTGTTAGCTGAGGAAATTCACCTGCAAACTGTCTACGCCTGGGATGTACATGGCAGGAAAAGCAATATTGTGTTCTGCCCAGACAAGAAAGTTCTGCCCAGGACAGGATACAAACTACCAGTCTTGGTGTGACAAAACCTCTGGTTTCTCCATGATGGTTGAAATATGCCACCACTGCAAAGTTTTCTGACTAACTCTAGATTGGATGATCTTCCACAAGGAAGCCAAATTGCCCAGGATCTTGATTGGGAAATAATCACCAAAGATCAAGTCCACTGCCACAACAGTGTACCTAGTATTTCTTCCCAGCTGAACAGGCTGGCATCTGTCATAAGGTTCCTCTAAAATACAGTAAGGAAGGACTACCTGAGCCACCAAGCCACTACCTGGCCCTTAGAACCAAATAAATCAATATATTCAGGGACCAGATTGACTTGCCCCATGAAGACAGAATGTTATGTTGTGGGGGTGTGGAGTGAAACTGGGAAAACTAAACTCGAAGGAGACTGCCATCAGGTCCAAGACCAAATCAAAAGCAGAGAGTCGGGTGACTACTGGACTAGGGAGCTAGAATCTGAGACTAGAGTATCTCTTGAGAAGGAAACACTTTGTCATGAGCTCTGTTCAGGACTAGACCCAAATATTGCTAATGATAAGTAAGCAAGAGAAACAGTGTCTGAGACCCAGGATCCACTAGATCTGCAACGTCTGTACAGTCAAAGCCCACAAAATGGCTCTTACTGGCACAAAAGGCAGCACAGAGCCCAGGTCTTCCAAATATAAGTCCCAGATTACCAGGTCTTTTGGAGAAAACTGTCATAATTTGTGAAAATTTGTCTCAAGCAAATTGATGCAATTTTGGTCAAATCTCTAAGCAGAGAAATCAACTTTTAGAAAAATAGTTAAAAGCAACCTTCAATTGGAAAAAATTTGTAATATATACTGTATATAATAAATGTGACTCCAATAAATTATAGTACTGTAATGACCTTGTTGAATTTTAGGGATAACCCAAGAATTGTGGAGGGTTAAGGCTATACTGGTGACTAAAATATATCCAAAGCCAAGAACCAATTTGTAATATTGAAGTAGTGGCTGCATTTGTATTTTAAGGCGTGATTAGTAATAGGGAAAGATTATCTGCAGGGGGACCAGAGGGAATACTAGTGACTAATCCTTTGCCCCCTGTCTGCCTTTTTGAGCACAACTTTCACAGTTCAGTTTCTTTTTAATAAACCAAAAGGGAGCAAATAGGAGTTCATTGTAAAGATTTGTTTACACTGGTAGGCAGCCTTACTGCCTGTCTAAAAATCTATTGATTTTAAAATAGTGACAAACAGCTGGAAAAGTGATATGTCACTGTTTTAAGAATGAAACGCTTACATCCCAACTGGGTTCATTGCAGTCAGTTGTAGCCCCATTTATTTGAAGTACGACAGCTGAATGCTTCATAAGGATATCATTTTTATTGCAGCATGTGTACAACCCCCTCTGGCTGCTGCTTTAGGTTAGGGGGGTTGGTAAGGGTGGTTCTTCCTTCACAGCCTCACATGTGAACAAGCCCTTAAGGTTTACATACACTTTAAATCTCTTTGGTACTTGTCATCATTCTTATGTGCAACAAATCAAAAGCAATGCACCACTAATGAGATAATTGGCAGACCTATGATGTTATAGCAGGCCAACACCTGTGAGGGTCATTACTTTACCTGCCAAACAGTGTGCCTAAATTCAAATCATAGGCACAAGTAGCACAAGCTATTTTTTGGGCTGCTTACTAAATTTTGTGCTGAGTTTTCCTTTATATTGAAAGGCTAAAAGACCACATTTGACTGTGTATGAAGAGAAATGATAAGTATTACAACATCTTCAGAAATACTCTATCACACCATGCCTCAAAGGTTCACCTAGGGGAGCTCATTCAATGCTTTGTGTGTGGAAATGGGTTAGGAATTAAAGTTCAGCCAAAAAAACGAGGTCTAACTATTGGCTTTGTCTTCCTTATCATGACCGGAGTTTTAAATGAACCCAAGACATTTCTTCATGCCATAAATATCCCAAAAGATGGAAGAATTTGATTGTACAGCTTTTTAAAGTGGTCGTGCAATCTACCTTCCACGTATTATTTATATGGCAAACATTAGCATGCTTGCAACATTCAGCACATTGCTCTCCAGATTAATATTGAAAACATATTTAATGAAAAGCTGAAAGGATTAGAGCATCCTGACAAAGGGAAATTCTGACTAATGTTGCAGCTGTGCAGGGTTCCCAGGAATGTGCAATACTGCCAGCGCGTATTAACCAGTCAATTATTTGAAAATAAACACTATACAATGCATACACATGTAATCCAAAAGGTTTATAGTTTGCTACAAATACACCTAACTATAATTAGGCATTATTTTGAGCAGCAATATGTTGTACAATGTCCAAAAATATGTTACTGTTTGCTAAATAAATTAATATGAATTCTATAGTCATTTGTAGCATTTTATTTACATTTTAATTGTCCCATTTAGAGAGCTCCTGTCGCCCTGCCCATTTACAGTCTCTTTATAGCCCACCCCTCGACCACTTTATTTTTAACTCTTCGGCACCCCCCATCCCCACCACTCTTTCTTTGTCACAAAATGCATGTTGATTAGTAGGAATGAGTGAATTTGTCTGGGATTAGTCCACAAACAGTTCTGCAAATCTTGCTATTCAGTACCAGGCAGGGATCGTAAACAAGATATTGTCAAATAAAAGGTATGGGAAGCTGGGCAAACAATATATAGAATATAAAAAAAAACAATATGAGGTCTAAATATCAAAAAAATTGATTTGCTAATGTTTCAGCATTCACACACAAATCACAAAAAATACCTGTGATGTTTGTAATGTGTGTAATATAATTTTGTATTTGTTGTCTTTCTCTGGGAGAATCAAACATTCCCTAACATTCAATCGTAAGAGAATACTGCCCTAAAACTTTCAACATAATATAAAAAATAGCCTAACACTATAGGATAAAAACATTCAAACATAAGCAGAAATAATATGAGGGAGACCTCTGCACCTTGTACAAAGTGTATGGCAATTCCTGTGCAAACGGTAGAACAAATGGGTGTCTGGCGAAATGAACCTCCAGCTGCAGTGGGAAGTCAGACGTTTATTAGTAACAGTGGGGCTCCTGGTTGTAAGGGAGCTGGCACCCACCAGAGTCCTAAAAACCAGTGGGGATTCCCAGCTGACAGGTGAATGTAAACAAGGAGGTGGGGATAGTGCAACAAAAAAAGTGTGAAGGGTCAATCCAAAAATCTATGCCAGGCCTTTCAGGTCTGATATGGATTTTAAGGGGGGACCCTGCACAATGTGAAGAAAAAAAAGTGGGTTTGCACCCCGCAATCCATACTGCACCCTTTTCTGAGTGTGCAGTCTGACTGGCTAGGAATGGATGAGGGGGATTTATCTGAATCTAGAAGTCCCCTTTAACTGCCTCCCACCTGCCATATAAGGTAATAACAGGCGCAAGGTGGTTCTCTCGTTCTGGGAGGACGCCATATGACGTCCTCCTACTCTAACCGCACGTGCACGCCTCCTGGGGGCGTGCAGAGCAGCCATCGGTGGTGTGCTGCGTCCCTGGGACACAGCAGACCACCAATCAACGGAAAGAGCCGATGACGTCGGCTCTGTCATGTGATCAGCTATGTCCAATCACAGCTGATCGCATGTAAATATTGAAATGCTGGTTATCAGCATTCCTCCTCACAAGTTGTCACGCTGACAGCTCGTGAGGAGAGGAGAGCCGGTAATTGGCATTACTCAGGGGACATGTACACTGATCATCAGTACCCTGATGATAAGTGTAGCCCATCAGTGCCACTGTCAGTATCAATGCCACCTGCCAGTGCCCATCAGTGCCACATCAATGCCACATATCAGTACCTACCAGTGCACATCAATGCCACATATCAGTGCCCATCTGAGCTGCCTTTCAGTGCCACCTATCAGTGCCAGTCAGGGCCGCCTATCAGTGCCAGTCAGTGCCGCATATCAGTGCGCATCAGTGCACCTATCAGTGCATGTCAGTGCCACCTATCAGTGCCGCCTAACAGTGCCAGTCAGTCAGTGCCACCTAACAGTGCCAGTCAGTGCCGCCTATCAGTGCTGCCTATCAGTGCCATATATGAGTGCTGCCTTTCAGTGCCCACCATTAATGCCTGTCAATGCCCATCAGTGCCTCCTCATCAGTGCCCATCAGTGCTACCTATCAGTGCCCATCAGTGCAGCCTATCAGTGCCCATCACTGCAGCCTCATTAGTGCACATCAGTGAAGCAGAAAGATCACTTATTTACAAAATTTTATAACAGAAACTAAGAAAAAACATTTTTTTTTCAAAATTTGCAGTTGTTTTTGGTTTGTTTATCAAAAATAAAAAATCCAGAGGTGATTAAATACCACCAAAAGAAAGCTCTATCTGTCTCAAAAAATGATAAAAATTTCATAAGGGTACAGTGTTGCACGACCGCGCAATTGTCATTCAAAGTGTCATTCAAAGCTGGAAATTGGCCTGGGCAGGAAGGGGGTATAAGTGCCCTGTAGGCAGGTGGTTAAAAATAAAATTGAGAAGAGGGGAAATGCAACCTAAGTGCAGTATTAAAATACAATTTATTTGCAAGTGGTCATAAAAACTCGCAAGATAAAGTAGGTACTCGCTCATCAAATAAAAGAAACACTGTTTAGCCTTAGCCTTATCAGACTTGTAAAGGAGCAGTAAGCTCCGAGAGCATAGCCTGTTGTTCCACACCTATCCCTCCTTCCTGTGACAGCACATCCACCCATGTGTTCGCTCCATGCTGGCCCTGGATACATCCTAGTTCCTTTCCAGTGTCTTGGCTTCCATCTAACCATCCACAGCAAGAGGAGTCCACTGGCGGGTCCTGCAGGATAAGGTGAAACGGTAGTGTTTATTTCATTTAAACTTAGATGCAGCAGGGGCAGATACTTTGGTAGTGTATTGCAGTGAATAGCTTTATGTACAGATATCTTGTGAAGCTGTGCATGCATCTTGTGCCAGATGTAGACGCCTGATGTATTGGGCTGGGGGAGCAATTGTGGGCAGTCGGGAACCAGAAGGCTCTGATACATTTAGAAATGCCTACTCCATAACAAATGCACCAATTTGTACAACAAAGAGTGCTCAATTGCTTTCAATATTAACAGAACAAAAGTGGATGAGAGTCAGCAATGAACTGAATTTTCTCTTCAACAATACTGTTTTACTTTAACTGTTTAATATGCCAACACACTTAAAACTGAACTCTAAACCAAAAAATCCACTGTATCTATACCCAGACACAATCTGCTGTCATGTGACCATCCACAATGCCTTTTTTAGTATCGAAGTAATGTCTAGTTGATCTCAGTGCTGTGTTGTCACCTTTAGCATTGTGGTGTCTTTAAAGCCCATCTGAGCTAAATAAATTCCAGAGGCAACAACATATGTTTAAAATCTTATAGTTCAAAATCCTATAACTGTAGCTCCCTCTAGGGGTGCTAGAAAGTTCAATTTAGTTTGGCTCACAGTAATGAAATAAACATGTGTGATTGGGTTACTTTAGATCAGGCTGGAAGGCTCTAAAGGTCAGGTCTCTGATACCTCCCCCTGGTTCTGATGTCTTCCAGAAGATTCTAGAAACCAGTGGGAAGAGGGGTGGAGACTAAGATCTGCATATTCATGGGAGTCTGACCAATTCCAGGCAGGAGTCCTGGCAGTGTAGCAGACAGGCCCATAAATATGAGAGAGCCATGCCAGCAAGGGGAGTCTGGTGATCGGATGGAAGATGGAGTGTTGAGGATCATGTGGCCTGGGAGGGGACTCCGTAGAAGGGGGGGGCTCTGCTTCCTGGCTGGAGCTGAGGAGGAAGAAGGAAGGAAGGAGAAGAAGGTTCACAGAGGTAACTACACCAAGTCGTATTCAGAGTATACCCTGTTCATCATGGAAGACTAGCACAGCTAAAAGGCCTGAAACCTATGGAAAACCACAGGATATAAGGTTCTGAGTGAGTACCTCTACACCCCCAGGTCCTACAAGGGAGAGGGCTGACAGGTGCAATACCTAACAGTGCTAAGGACTGTTCTATAATCCCTTGCTCTGGAATACTTTTCAAGGCAAATCAGGTGGGTAGGTAATTTCCATCTGAGGTCTGAAAAGATTCACTTAAATGGGACCAAGTGCTCCTTAAAGAGACTTTGTAATTGATCCATTAAGAGACAGAAGCCACTCCAGAGGAAGTAGAGGTCAGGATCCATCCTTTTTGTACAGAAAATAGGAAGTGTGCCCTCAGAGTTGCTGTTTCAAGTCAAGCTTTTAATCCCATATACCCTTAGACCTTATCCAAGTTGTTTACCACAAATAAAACAAACAAAAAAAAGCCCATGGACTGGTTACTGACTCGGAATGGAAGTTAGAAAATGTGTGTTGCTTGGCTGTGCAGCCATAGGGAGAGCTAAAAACTCAGCGGCTCCTTAGGGGGTAGCGCTACATAACCTTAATATATAGATGTGTCCCCTGCCAGCAGCATAGTAGAACATTTGCATTCTTTGTGGAAGCAGTGTCTCTCTGCAGAGGTCATACAACCCATACTGAGTCAGACCTATGACTCTGCAATCTGCAAAGCTCATGAACCCTGTCGATGAAAGAGTTTTGATGCTGACCCAGCAGCTGGCATGTTGGATCTTTGCAGAGAGATTACTGCTTCCTCACAGAAAGCTAGAATCCTACTCTGCATCTTCTGGAGTACAGGTTTTCCTACCCACGATACAGCAGCTTGAGAAAGAAAACAAACTGTACAATATTGATTTCCTTTGGTTTTGATGTACCTAAACAAGGTTTAAATCAATAATTCAGTTGGGCTTTAAGACTTCAGGACCATATTTGAACCCTGTGAGGAATCTATGAGGACTAGAAGAAAGAAGATATGGGTCCTTCAATTGCAGTTTCAAGAAAGAAATTAGGGCTTTGACTTAATTCTTAAAACTATAGATTAGGTCGAGGCTTGGTGGATTGAGAAAGGGAACAGTTTTATTTTTGTTTGAGAGGAGTTGACCTATAATGAGTGATAAAGATTGCAGAGGAAAAGAACACACACACAGACCAGAGCAGTTAGAATCCTGCATCACATGTAAACAGATTATCCAGCCATGTCATGGATGAGGAAAGAATTCTAGCACACTACAAGTAACTAAAAAAGGTATGCCCCCCAAGTCAAAAGGGTGCAGTCAGATACTACAGCAAGCAAGGGAGGTCAGATCTAGAAATGCAGTTGCAGTGGTTTATAACAGGGTTAAAACTAGAAAAACAGTAACTATTGGTAGTGAATTGATTTCAAATGTATCTCTAGCCAAAATGTTTAGGTTTGGGCAGAGGAGTAAGGTTCACAACTTGTTTCGGATTCGTGGTTTGTGTCTTTTGGGAAGATTTCCTTTCACTTTCCTTTCTCCTGTACTGGAGACACAAGGCAAAGTGCAAATTTCCCCAAAATGAGGAAAATCACACATTTAACAGTTGATACTGGAATAAGTGTCCCTTTATCAAAATGTTCCCTTAGTTTCAGTTCCAGTGACAGCCACAACATTTTGAATTTTTCCATTGTTTTCTACCTTTGTGAAACCTGTCACCTGTATAAATGGAGAGGTTGAATATCTACACTGGAGATGCCAACAACTGTAAAAAACTGACAGAGCTGCTAATTTTGTAAAAGAATGGATAACCGATCGGGTGATCATACAGGGAGTAATTGTAACTTTCAATTTACTAAATAGGTTCCAAGGTAAAAGCAATAATGCAAAAACAGTTTGGGAGTGTGCATATACTGCAGAATAATATAAAATAGATCATGAAAGCTGCACAGACATGGACTCTTCACAACAATTTCTCTATTGCTCAGCTGGTATATAATTTGGCTTCATATAATAGTCCCTTTAAAGACTTTATAGCAGCGGAGAGTCAAGCTAAAAGAAAATATTAGAGTATTTGAGTAAAAATATACTTTATTTAAAGAAGATTAAATGGTAACTTAGCAAAAGGTTCCAATAAAATACAGTGACAAGCAACACCAAATAAGGTAATGTTAGCAGATACAGTGAACATATGCAGGAAAAGGGGTTAAATGCATATAAAAATGGTGGCAAATAAACAGAGAGAGGGACACGGGTGTTGAGTCCAACAAATTCAGTTCCGAAGGGTAGCAAAAGGGGTTAAACTGAGCATCAATAAAGGATTATTGATTATTTCTGGATAGAGAGTACTCGGAAGACTCTACCCAAATTAAGTCTAAGCCCAAGCTGCAGGATGATAGGTAGGGGTCAAAGAGCGGCTAGTCCTGCATGGATCAGCAGTTGCAGTAGCTGATTAAGGAAAATGTTCTAATATGTCCCTTTGGTAGTAGTTAATCAAAATATCAGCTTCTGTTGAGTGAGGGTGGCCATGCATGGAGCAAAATCTTGACAGTCCCTTCTAAACAAAGTGAATTGCAATCAGTGTATGACCAAGTAGGAGGTTCTTGAGAAAGGGGGGTTTTGGATCCCCAAAACATTTTTTTCTCTTCCTCTCTCTTTTCACCAGGGTCTGGCTCAGCTTTCTTTTTTTATTCTATTCTGGGTACTGTGTTCCTGTATGTTTTTCTGAACATCAGCTCTTACACATTTTAAGTGTAGCTCATTGTACCTATATGCATGCATGTTCTTTGCTGTGATTCAGCAACGAAGTGTACATCTTTGTTGAATTATACTTGTTGTTTGATGACATACTTGGTTATCTGTACCTGCTGAGTGATTGTATGTACTGTATTTGCCTAATACAAACCTATTGCTAAAGAAGTATGGCTATGTTGTGTGCTTACTCTATACATTAATTAGTATGACCAGTTTAACTTACAGGGCTATACAGCTATTATAGAAATCTATTTTTAAAAAATTTCTATTCATTACAGAAGCTCGTAGAGAGGTCCAGACTCACATCCTAGAAATCCTTTTGTTTTCATGGCATTGTTAGTGGGCTGATCCAACCTCTTGG